TGGCGGCGTGGCTGGATTAATCCAGCCCCCCAGGATTAATCTAGGGCCCTGCAAAAGGCAACCAGAGCAGCCAGCGGGTACGCCTGGCCAGCCACAAACGCCAGACAGGACGAAGTGCGCACACGGGCGGGCCGCTGGCGGGTCGCAGGGCGCGCTGCGGGAACGGTCGCGCGTAGGCCGCCCGGCGGGCCGCCCGCGCGTCGCGAGGCGGCCCGCCGCGCGACGCCAGCGGACCCCCCCCCTCATCCCCACAGCAGGGCCCACCCACTCCCACAGGGGGGGACCCCCATCCCCACAGCAGGACCCACCCACTCCACAGGGGGGGGGTACAAAACAAATTGGCGCCTCCTCCTCCTCCGCTTCATCGTCGTCGTCGTCGTCGTCGTCGTCGTCGTCGTCGTCCTCCTCCTCCTCCTCCCTCCTCCTCCTCCTCCTCTTCCTCCTCCTCCTCCTCCTCCTCCTCCTCCTCCTCCTCCCCCTCGTCCTCGTAGGGCAGCGCCCCCCTCAGGGTAGCCGCGCCACGCCCAGCCTGGCGCGGAGTCCTGTGGAATGCTCTAAGGTCTTCCGTGTGCCCCTTCCACAGACGGCGCCAGCACAGAGGGCAAGGCCAAGGTTGTGCCTAGAAACAACCAAGCCTCCCGCAAAACCTAGTGCAAACGCAGCACAGCAGCCTCCCGCAGAGCTGCGGTACGTGAGCCGAACACCACAAACACTCCCCGTAGGGCAGCCTCCCTGGGGGATGTCGTGGCACGCGCAGCCCAGCGGAGTACTCTGGGGCACTCCGCCGGGCCCCATGCAAGCGGCGCTTGCGAAGAGACCAGGGCCAAGGTTGTGCCTAGAAACAACGGATCCCTTCGCACAACTGCAAGGCTTCTGCGGTGCCTGCCACGCGAGCCATGAAACGCGCCCCGTAGAGCAGCCCCCTTCAGGGCAGCCGCACCACGCGCAGCCAAGCACAGAGTACTCTGGAATACTCTGGGGCACCGCGCCGGGCTTCACGCAAGCGGTGCATGCTGGGGTGGGCTCGGCTGCATGCGTGCAGCCGAGCCCCCCCCCCTCAAACCTGGTTGTAAACATTGACAAACTTATCGTTACGCGCGCACGGAAAGCGCACAAGCCTACCTGGGCCACCTGCTGGTACACTTTGCCTACCAGTGGCGGCGTGGCTGGATCAATCCAGCCCCCCAGGATTAATCTAGGGCCCTGCAAGAGGCAACCAGAGCAGCCAGCGGGTACGCCTGGCCAGCCACAAACGCCAGACAGGACGAAGTGCGCACACGGGCGGGCCGCTGGCGGGTCGCAGGGCGCGCTGCGGGAACGGTCGCGCGTAGGCCGCCCGGCGGGTCGCCCGCGCGTCGCGAGGCGGCCCGCCGCGCGACGCCAGCGGACCCCCCTCATCCCCACTGCAGGACCCACCCACTCCCACAGGGGGGGGCCCCCATTCCCACAGCAGGACCCACCCACTCCCACAGGGGGGGGGGGGAGGGCGTCTGCACCCGGTGCGGCCGGTACGAAAGCCCCCGGGAAGGGGGAGGTGGGGTGGTTCCAGGTTGCCGGCTGCACCCGGTGCGGCCGGTACGAAACCCCCTGGGAGGGGGGGGGGTCGTGCCACCCGGCACCGCCGACATATATATATATATGTATATATATATATATGTATATATATATGTGTATATATATATATATATCTATATCTATATCTATATCTATATCTATGTATATATATATATATATATATATATATATATATATATATATATGTACACATCTATCTATATGGGGGCGCGCCTGCAGGTGCTTCCCTGCGATTACCTAGCGGCCGTAGTCCTCCGCGAGGCGAAGGATATGGGCGCCCCAACCTGGGAGACTGCGGCGCCGCGGCTTTGGGCCGCCTGCCCTCGCCGCCTGCTGGCCTGCTGTGTCGCGCTATGTTTCCGTCTGAGAGGATCTGGGCTGCGCGGCGGATCGGGCCGCCTGAGAGGAGGTGCTGCGGAATTGTTGGCTGGGTTGCGTGCGCCCTGCCCTGCTCCAGTATGACCCAGCAATTTTTGTCGCAGCCGCTTCTCGCAAGTGTGTGGCCTTTAACCGGTCTTTCTGCGACCTGTTCCTGGGGCCCTCCCTCCCTGGCCTTGCCGTCCTCGCGTGGGAATCTGGGCCAAAACAGTGGAAACACTTACAATTTTGGGCTGTGGCGCGTATGGCTGGCGCGCGGCTTCTCTCTCTCTCTCTCTGTTGGAAGGTGATGATAACCCAAACACCGTTCAAAAATGCAGGGCTGGTGGGCTTCGAAATGCGTCCTTGCGCCGCGCTCTGGCGGCAAGCCCAGCGCTTGCGGCGCAGCGGCAAGCGATCTTCCCTGTCGGGGTCGATCACAAGCCTCGCCCTGTTGGGATTGAAGCCAGCGAGCGCGTGAAGCGTGTCTCGTTCGTGGGCCGGGCCATCGTGCGGGCTGCGCCCCGCCGCTCCCCTTCTCCCCGCTCTTCCTCCTCGTCTCCTTCCAGTGTGAGCTGACGGGCCGCGTGCGCGTCTCAGCGCATTTGTACGCCTGCCTGCTGCGTTTTTTCCTTTAGACCAGAAGGGGGGCTGGCGCTCCCGCCCCCCAAGTGGTCTAAATAAATTTGGTGGTTTCTGGCAGGCGTCCGCTGAGCCGTGCTTCCATGCGGGAGGGGGGGCGCCCTTTCACGGGCGCCGCTGTTGCCGTCGTGTCGCGGGGCTTGAAGGTGAGCGGGTTTCACCTCCGCGGCGTCGTCCTGCATCCGCTCGCTGTGGGAAGGGGCCGAGCATCGCCATCTGAAACCTGCCAGGTGAGGATGGGGCGTGAAGGACCGCCCCTCCACGTCGTCGGCAGGAAGGTTCAGGGCGGCGCACCCATGCCGCGGGCAGCGGCGCTGAGCCGCAACGGCCGGGGTCGGGCGCTGGCGTAGACCGCGCTGGCGCGCGGGCCCGAGACCGCTGCAGGAACGTGAAATGAAAATTGGAAATGCGTGCAGGGGGACGTTCGATGTGGCCTAGTTTTTTTCTGGCGGGGCCTTCATGGATACAGCAGGCCCCTCGACGCATTCTCGTGTATGGAGCGGTCCTGCTCACAGCAGCCTCGTGATGAGAAAGGGTTGGGATCTTCGTTAGGCAAATCTCTCTTTTTTTGGTCGATGCTCGCGTTGTCTCCAAGTCTCGGGGGCGGCGTCCACCGCCCTGGGGGCGTCAGGGGGGACGGTTCTCTCTTAGAGGTTCCTATGCCTTGTGCCCCCCAATCTCGGACTCGACTTATTTATGTAGTTATTGCTGTTCGCTCTCGTCCTACTGCTTCCTACTATTCTTTGCTCTCTCCCCCTCCCGCCCCCTTCCGTCGCATCGGCGACCAAGGCACTAGGTGCTCGCTCACCTGGTGCGGCAGCATGGCCCTTCCAGCTTGGCTGCTGCAGGGCCTATCTCAGGTTGTGGGCCCTGTCCGCATTAGACTCGTGAGGGACATCTGTGCGGGTACCCCCCGGGCTCTGCCCGGTGTGTGTGTGTGTGTGTGTGTATGTGTGCGTGTGCGTGTGCGTGTGCGTGTGCGTGTGCGTGTGCGCGTGCGTGTGCGTGTGCGTGTGCGCGTGTGCGTGTGCGTGTGCGTGTGCGTGTGTGTGTGTGTGTGTGTGTGTGTGTGTGTGTGTGTGTGTGTGTGTGTACGTGTTTGGTCTACGCATTCGCGAGTTTTTCTTGTCCAGGCGTTCGCTGGTTTGTGGCTCTCTACTGGCATTGCCCTTCCGTTTCCTCCTCTCCTCTTTTCTCCCCGTCCCAGTTTCGCTGGTGCTTTTTTGTGCTTGTGGCCCTGGCCGAGGCTTGAAGCAGCGGATGCGCATGGCAGCCGTTTTTGGCGACCGCGCTGCCGAGTCTCCGCCCTCCTCGTCCTCGTTCTCCCTCTTCCTCGTTCTGGCTGTCTTTCAATATTTTAGTGGCAATGCGATTTGAATCGCACGGCCAGCCGACGTGTCAGATGTGCGTAGCTGGACGGAGGCTGCGATTCCTTGGAGTAAGCACAACCTTTCGGCGCACTCCTTCCGAATTTCGTGCGTGCTGTGGAGCCCCACCTGGCGCCCCAGCGGGCGTGCCCGCATTCAGCACCGCGCCAAAGTCGGCACGCCCCTCGCACGCCACGAGCCCCCAACAGAGCGCTGCATCGATCGAAGGCCTCAGTGGGTGGCCGCGCATGCCAATCTGTCTTCGCTTCGGCCGCGTGCCTCCCCGCGCCCCATGTCGGCGCATGCCCCAGCACGGGGCTCGACGGTCGTGCCCACTTCGTGCCGCCGTCGTCGTCGTCGACATGATGCCGCCGCCGTGCCTGCTTCGTGGGCGGTTGCGCGCGCCGTCGTGCCAACCTCGTGTCCTCGCAGGGCCACTTCGCGCCCCCGTCGTGCCACTCTTCGTGCCCACGTCATGCTCGGTTCTACCTGCAGCCCTAGTGGTCGCCGACGCACGTCGCATCCCGTCAACCTCGGCATAGAGCTCACACGGCTCGTGCCCCCATAGGGAGCTCCACCTGCGGCCCCAGTGGGTCGGTGGGCGCGGGTGCATGCCTCCCTGCGCCCATTCTGGTACACCCGCACGTGGGTCGTGCCCCCACCGTGGGCGCGCGCGCACGCAGCACCCCACCTATTCGTCACACGTCTCACACGTTGCGTACTCCCATATGGAGGCGCCGCCCACGGTCTCAGGGGGCGCGCGCGGGTGCCGCTCCCGCGCCCATTTCGGCACACCCCTCAAACGAATCGCGGATCGCACTCTCAAGGATCCCACGTTCCATACATACGGCGGCGCGTACCGTATAAGGAGAGGCGCCCCTCGCTACATGCGGCTGCATAAGGTTGGTCTCGTCGCCAGGCTGATTTTTGCGGGTCCCAGGTCCTGGAGCGGGGAAGTAAAACATATTGCCCGACATCTTTCGTCAATGTGTTCGCGACGTGCGAAGTTTCGGGGGGTTGAGCTTCCAAGACCGCGCTCGGTTGGAGGGGCGGGTGTAGGAACCCAAGCAGCGCGATGCTGCCAGCGCCGATGCGGAGCAGCTCGTGTGCGAGGCGCCTGGCTTTCTCTTCGGGGGAGGCGGAGCAGCAGCACAACACGCGAGCGCAGCCGCTCGGGAGGGAGACGTGTATGCACGCACGCGTGCCGCGTGCGTCGTGCGTGCTTGTTGTCATCCTTGCGTGCGCGCACTTTTCGGCCACAGGGCCGCTCGACACCAACATCCTCTGATACAAGGCTGCGATCATGTGCATGTGAGCTTCTGCCGAGTGAGCCTGCGTGCGCGCACGCGTTTCTGACTGGCATGTGCGGCGGGGCTGGCCACTGGAGGAGCCCAGAGGCAAAGGGGAAGTCACGGTGCACGTGCGGGGGTCGCGCGCTTCGGAGTGAGTGTCAATTCGGCCGAATGGCTGCTCCAGGAGCCAACCGGCCACACCTAGGGGAGCTGTGGTCTTTGCCCCAATGGGGGGGCCCATCGGCTTCTACACCCCTGTCCAGAGGTCGTCGTGGCGCTCGCGGGGGATGGGCGACGTGCTGGGCCTCTGAGTCTGTTTTTTCGGCTCTGCATGCCCTAATCGCGTAGTCTTCATCTGTTTCGGTGGTGGCGGTCGTCTTGATGGTGGTCGTCGTCATCGTTGTCGTGGTCGCGGTGGTGGTGGTGGTGGTGGTGGTGGTCGCCCTCGTCCCACCGCATTTCTGCGCATTCTCGGAGGTGCTGCGGGTGTTGTGCGACGTGCTCTTCCAGCACCCGGAGCTGAAGGGCGCGTTCGCCTCGGGGGACCAGCCGCGGGGGGCGCCTGGCTCTCGCCTGGGACTTCGGTGCGTTGTGGCAGCCCGAAGCTTGAAATCGACAGCAGCTGCAGGGATGGAGACTCCCATGGCGCGCCACATGGGTGGCACGCACCCCTGGCAGGTTCTTCGGGGCTGCGTCCGATTTCCGCTCGATGCTTGGGCTGGCGGTGGGGCCCAACCTGCGAGGTGTCTTGTGCTTGCGGCTTTGTGCGATCCTAACCTTCGCATGTAGGAAGCAGCGCCGCCGGAGGGCGGCCCCTTTTTGAATACTTAGCTCTCGCGTGAGGTTTCCAGTGGACCCTCCTCTTGTGAGAGGACCGTGCGTGCCAGCTGGGGCCGCGGCTGGCTGGGAGCAAGTCGAGAGGTAGGTCTCTTGAAGTTTCGTTCTGTGGATGTCTGTTTCTGGCCCCAGGTCAATCCAGTCTCCAGGGTGTGGTCGACAGGTCCAGAATGTCCAGGTCACGAAAAAACGTAACGTCCGAAGGCTGGGGTGAGGTGTGTCCGCATTTTCGGACCATTGCGTTTTAGATTCCCAATAACTTGGGGTACGACGGGTGGCTCATCTACGGCATCGACCTGTTGCTTTGGCGCCGCGGGAATATGTCTCAAAGATCTGACGGTCGGCTATCGGTATGATTGTGGATGTTGGTTCCGAGCACGGGAGGTTCGCACCGTGCAGGTCCACGCGGCCTTCGTCTCTTCAGCGGGCGCTCGCAGGAACCAGCGGAGCACATCTGTGTAAGCTAATGAAGAGGGGGTGGAATGATGCAGCATGAGTGGTGTGTTTTGCGCTTGCTCTGGTCCTCCTCCTCCCTCGCCTGCTCCTCCTCCTTCTCCATCTTGCTTCTCTGCCTCCTCCTCCTTCTCCTCCTCCTCGTCCTCCTCCTCCTCCTCCTCCTCCTCCTCCTCCTCCCCCTTCACCCTCGCGGGCGCGGCGGTAGGATGATGATCTGAGGAGGAGGACAAATGACCAGTGTAAACCCAAGACTTATCAGCGATATTGCCACACACCGTCCCTCCAAGTTCCTTCGTCATAGGCCCCATACTAGGATTCAGTGTCACTGGGAGAAGTGTCCCGTTGGAAGACACCCGTTTGAACATCCTGAACTGCGCCATGACACCATTCCTGTGGCTTCGACGCTGCGAATCACCGTTACTGTTGCTCACGACGATCCTGAACCGTGCCAGAACACCATTCCTGGGACTTCCAAACCGCAGTGCAGCATCGTGCCCAAACACTATTTCTTGGAGGAGGGGGGTTGAGGAGGAGGGAGGGGGGGAGGAGGACGAGGAACAGGAATGGCAGGGGAAGGAGAAGGTTCCTGGAGGTCCCCAGGAGTCCTCGGAGGTCCCCGCAGTCCCACACTGCTGGCCAGAACTGTCTCACACTAGGGAAGTGTCGAGATATTCTATCCTTCTCGAGCCTGGATCCTCGATCCTTCTCGATCCTCCTCAATCCTCCTCGATCCTCCTCGATTTTCCGCGATCCTCCTCGATCCTCGATCCCCCTCGGGACCGAGGCTTCGTGAGGCCACCAGGGTGCGGGTGGGCGCCCCTCCGCGAGACCCACAGGACCGCCTACGCGACCTGCTCGAGTGTCCGCGCCTGCCAGTGGTGCTGGGCGCGCTGAGGTGCCTGGTCGTCGTCGTCCTCTCCTCCCCTCCCCCCCCTCCTCCACCTCCACCTCCTGGTCGTCGTCGTCGTCGTCGTCGTCGTCGTCGTCGTCGTCGTCGTCGTCGTCGCCGTCGTCGTCGTCGTCGTCGTCGTCGTCGTCGTCGTCCTCCCCGTCCTCCTCCTCCTCCTCCTCCTCCTCCTCCTCCTGCTCCTCCTCCACCTCTTCTTCCTCCTCCTCCTCCTCCTCCTCCTCCTTCCCTCACCTTCCATGCATTGACCGAGCGAATGGCCAGTTCGCGTCTGCCCTCGGTTCCCCACTGAGGCTCTCAGACTGGCGTCGCACCCCCCCCTCTCTTGAGAGGCTGCGCTCGGTCGCCATGATGTACCAGCTTCGTCGTCTCCTCCACTCGAAGCGGGGGGACGGCGAGGCTTCGGGAATGACACTTTCCCCCGAAGCGAGCCTGTCGATCGCGAGGGCGGCGAGGCTTGCTGTGGATCTCCCGACCAGAGAGGGCAGACCCCTCAGCAGCAGCAGCAGCAGCAGCAGCAGCAGCAGCAGCAGGACAGGAGGAGGCGGAGGCCTCTTGGTCGACGCTGTGCCTCCTCCGCTCGCCCTGCACCCCCTCCAGCCTTACCCTCCTCCACCCCGCCCCCCTCTCCCTCCCCCTCCCCCTTCTCCTCCTCCTCCCTCTCCTCCCCCTCCTCCTCCTCCTCCTCCTCCTCCTCCTCCTCCTCCTCCTCCTCCTCCTCCTCCTCCTCCTCCTCCCCCTCCTCCCCCTCCTCCCCCTCCTCCTTCTCCTCCTCCTCCCCCTCCTCCTCCTCCTCCCGCTCCGCGCCGAGGTGCCTCAGCGCCTGCCCCCCTGGGCGCCTGCTGCGCGGGCCCTGGCGCGGGGACGTCGTGGCCCCACGAGCGGCGAACCTGCCCACATCGATGCCTTCGCGGCCTGGGCCACGAGACGCGGCCCCCACGGACACGCGACTCCACGGATACGCTCCGCGCGGGGCATCTGCACGAAGCCGCCCTGTATCGGGAAGGTCGCGGCCGAGAAGGTCAGACCGCGAGGCCGTGGATGTGGACGTGTTTCCCGCCTGCGAAAGGAGCCGCCGCCGTCGTGGTTGGTGGTTCGGGGCGGACGAGAGTAGATGGTTTTCAAAGGGTGGCTAACGGAAACCGCTGCGTGCAGCCGGTTTCGGCTGCACCGCACGGCGTTCTTCTCGATGCATGGCCGCGCCGGGCGCTGCGAGGCCGTGGGAGGTGCTGGGAAACCATATACGTTTAGCTGATTGAGTGGTGGTGGTCGTCGTAGTGGTGGTGGTCGTCATGGTGGTGCATCAGCGCTTGCCCCCTCGGGGCGGCTGCTGCGCGAAAACCTTGGCGCGGTCACGACAACGACGCCTTCGTTTCGGAGGTCTGTGGGCGTCTCTGGAGGTCTGCGGCTGAATGCAGCTTTGAAAATCGTCCAATATTGGTCCCTGGGGTTCCAGGGACCGTCGCCGTCGCCGCCGTCGACATCGGCATCGGCATCGACATCGTCGTCGTCGTCGTCGTCGTCGTCGTCGTCGTCGTCGTCGTCGTCGTCGTCGTCGTCGTCGTCGTCGTCGTCGTCGTCATCGTCGTTGTCGTCGTCAGACGCTGCGTGCGGGCGCCGTGCCGAGGCGCGGATCCGCTGGCGTCGCGGCGCAGCGGCGCCTCGAGGCGCTGGCCGGCGGGGCGGACTGGGCCGGTGGTCTGCGGGGCGCCTGCCGGCCAGGCTGCCCCGCTCGGGACTTCCTGTGTGAAGTGCCCCGCGCAGCATCTTCCGGCGGCGGCGGCGGCGGTTTGACGGTAGTGTCCGCGCCCGCGTCCAGTGCGGAGTCGGACGAGGATCGGCGGCGAGCGAGGGGGGGGGGGAAGGATAAGGAGAAGGCCTTCCCAGAAGGCGGTGGGGCATCTCAGAAGCTTCTTTCTCACCTTCCGAGAAGTTTTCCTGGTCATGGGGGAAGGCTTAGGACACCTCTGAGAAGGCCGGGGGGGACTTCCGAACCTTGCGAGAAGGCCTCCTCCTTCTCGCTTCCCCCCCTCGCTCGCCGCCGAGAGGACGCTGTGATGAACGAGATCTTGGCGCGGTGCGACGTCGCGGAGGCGCACCGGGCCGGGCTGCGCCTGCAGCTCAGCATGTGGCGCCACGGGGTCACCGCGCAGGGGCGGAGGGAGGTGGTGGCGCTCTCGCTCTACGCGCTGTGCAACGCCGTGAGGCACCTGGGCCCCGGCTTCCTGCAGCAGCACCTGCAGAGGCGCCCGGGGCTCTTCTCCGAGCTCTGCGACCTGCTGCAGGACCTGGAGGCCGTGGGGCCCGAGGTCGGGGTTGCAGCGCTGAGGGCCACTGGAGCGATCTTAGACTCGAGGAGTGGGCCCAGCAGGACTGAGGCCTCCCAGCTCTCGCAGCTGCTCGGCCTGTCGGTCCCGCACGGGATCGTGTCCTGCGCGCTCCGGCGGCTGCTGGGGGAGCAGCCCGTGCCCGACGCGGTCGAGAGCCACCGCAGGGTTCTTCTGGCGGCTCTGGAGCTCTTCCAGGTCATGACCTCATGGAATCACCAGGCGACCGCTCAGCTGGGGCACGCCGGAATGATTCTCGCGATGCTCGACCTCGCGAGCAAGACGGACCTGCCAACGCTGCCCGCGGCTGCCGCGGCGCTGCGGTGCCTCGAGCTCGCGGCCGAGGCCTCCGAGTCGACGGCCTTGGTGCTCTTCCGCGAGCTGCGCGGCCTCGAGGCCTTCTCGGCGCGCTTGCGTCAGGAGGTCGAGCTGCTGCTGGCACTCGACTTCACGGGGGACGTCTACTGCCAAACGCCGCCAGGCCTTCAAGCGCCGGTCGAGGACAGGGACCGGTACTGGCGGACCCTGGAGGAGGTGACGGCCCGCAGGAAGCTGTGCCGGCAGCTGCTGAAGAACATTCGCGTGGCGCTGCAGTGCTCCGAGGTGTTCCAGTCTGGCATGACCACGGCCTCGCTGGTGGAGGTGTTGAAGAGGATTCTGCAAGAGCCCGAGAAGGTGGGGCTCTCCATCTTCGGCACTGCGGTGGAGATCGTATCCGCCCTCATCCAGGACGACCCCTCCCGTGTGCCCCAGATGATCGAGTCCGGTGTCCTCCCTGGCATAGTTGGCGTCCTCCGGAAGGACACGCTGCGGTGCCCCGAGTGCCTGGCCGCTGTGCCAGATGCACTGGGCGCCATCACGCTGCACGCGGCTGGGGTGGACTTCGTCCTGAAGGCTGAGACGCAGCCCATCAAGCTTCTGATCGATGTGGTCGTGGACCCGTCGTTCGCGCCGATGCTGCACTCGCAGCCTGAGCTGGTCCAGATCCTGAGCACCCACCTCGACAAGGTGATCCGGAACCGCCCAGCGGGCTCGGCGAAGCTGCCAGAACACGTCGTGGAGTGCATGTTGGAGACGATGCGCGCGCTGCTGGAGCAGGCCAAGGCGTATCCGCCCTGGAGCCCTCTGGAGCTGGCCGAGAGCGCAGAGTTCCTGGCGGACCGCCTGGCGAGCCTCGGGCGCCTGTGCTGGCACGTGCTCGGGGCGAGCGAGGAGATGCTGTCGCTTTTCCTGGAGAAGCAGGGGCTCTCGGACGGGGCGAGGACGAAGCTCAAATCCGTTCCGGATCGTTCCGGAGCGCTCTCGGAGCGTTCCGGAACGCTCGGAGAAGGCCGCGGCGCCCGAGGCATCCTCCAGAGCCGCCAGATCTCGGAGATTCTCGATCTATCCTCACCCGAATCTGTCCTCGGCCTGGCCTCGTCTCAGGCTCGGCCTGGTGTACGCGCTGCACCGGCTCCCGTGCCTGCCGTACCACCTGTGCTCCTCGGAGGGCGGGCAGCAGCACCCGCTCGGCAGCCTCTTCAGCATGCGCTGCGGCGGGCAGAGCTGCCACGCCAAGGCGCTCCCCGTGCTGAGCGAGAGGCTGGAGGAGCCCTACGCGAAGGTCTCGGCCACCCTCCGGGAGCGCCTCCGCGAGCCGTGCGACCTGGCGGGTGCTCTGGCGAAGATGGAGGCCGGCGAGATCGACGAGTTCCTGCGCGCCCTGAGCTCGGTCGCCGGCATCGCGGAGGGTCTGCTGTCGATCTGCCGCGACGGGGCCAGCACGCAGGTGCTGGAGGCGCTGCGGGAGCCACTGGAGAAGATCGGCAGCCTGGCGCCCGCGCTGCTCGCCATCGACGCCACGCGGAGCAGGAGCGGCCCGCCCAGGGCGCCTCCCCGCGCCGCCACCGCCACCTACAACGAGCTGGCCCGCAGCCTCTTCGAGGCGCCGCCGCCCCCGGCCGCTGGCGCGCCGAGCGCGGGCCCGGGCCGCATGGAGGTGGACGCCGGCGGCGCGGCGCCGGCGCTCGCGAGCGGCGCCTGCGCGGCACCTGCGGGCGACGCGCGGTCGGACGCCGCAGGCGCCGCCGCGGAGGCCGCGCAGGAGGCGCCCCGGGCGGGAGGAGCGCCCGGCGCCGCCCCGCCCTGGCTCCACGTGGCGAGGCAGTGCTTCCGGCTCTCGGCGCGGTCCGTGCGCAACCTGCTGGGGGCCGTGTCGAAGCAGCTGCACGGGAGGGCCCGGGCCACTGAGGCCGCTCAGGTCGGGACGGGGGGGGGGAGGCCAAGCGTACCCCAGGACAGACGTGCCCTGGAGGGGGGGCCTCAGGGCCCACCTCGGGGCGCCCAACGGCTGCGTTTTGGCGCCCACCGTGGCTGGATCCGCGGCCGCTGCGACACCTCCCTGAGGGTACGTCGTCCTGGGGGTACGTTTGGCCCTTCCCAAGGGAGGGGGAGGGTCAGGGGCAACGATAGGGGGCATGCGGTCGAACCGAGGTATAAGATCGAGGTCGGTTCGGGGAGGGTACCCTAATTTTGCTCGTGTTTGTTGGATGTTCTCGTGGATCCTGTGGGAGTGTACCATCGAATGTTCTTCGGTTTGGCCAGCGGAGGGTCTCATGTTTTTGCAGGATGCTATTATGTCCTAGGTCTGGCTGTAGGCATTGGGGGTATCGACCTTCAGTCGCCCATTGATCGCCGATAGGGGATCGATAGCCCCAACCTGCCCAGGAACGTGCGGATTACCGATTAGTGGCCCATCGCCGATTTATCGGCGATGTATCGCCGATTCCAGGTCGATGTGTCCCCGGTCCCCCCCCTGCCGTTGCCCCTCAGAGGGAGAGGGAGGGTTCGAGCATAGAGGTTCGGGGATCGAGTCCTTCGGGAATTGATGATGCCGACCCATGGGGCCCCCACGGGGCCTTCATGGGGCCTCCAGGAGGCCTCTGGGGGCGCTCTCTGACCTTCGGGAAGGAGGAGGAGGAGGAGGCGAAGGAGGAGGAGGAGGAGGACGAGGAGGAGGAGGAGGATTCATAATAATAGTACTAGCACTAATACTAATAATAGTTTAAGTAGTAGTGGTAGTAGTCGTAGTAGTAGTAGTCGTCGTCGTCGTCGTCGTCGTCGTCGTCGTCGTCGTCGTCGTCGTCGTCGTCGTAGTAGTAGTAGTAGTAGTAGTAGTAGTAGTAGTAGTACTAGTCATGCTAGTCTTATTAATACTATTCATACTACTAATCATACTCAGACTAATAACAGTAGCAAAAATACTAGTATGGTTATTAGTCATAGTATTAATACTACAAATCGTGATACGAGGGCTAATACTATTACTGACCATACTCATCATAGTAACAAGACTCATCACAACAATGTTAATACTAATAGTAGTCATTATACTGATAGTGAGGAGAAGGAGCAATAACACTAACAATAACAATGAGACAAAGAAGAAGGAGGAGGAGGAGGACGAGGAGGAGGAGGAGGAGGAGTAGGAGGAGGAGGAGGAGCCCTGGAGATCTTTTGGGATCCCTGGGGACCCCTCGGAAGAGGGAGGGCGCACGCCACTGCCGGGCCTCCGCGGGCCCGCCCCTGGCGCCCGCTGCTGTCGCACGTCGGTTTTTCTGACCGGGCCGGGAGTACGTGGTCTGCACCAGGATCTGGCCCGGCATGGGCCTCCTGAGACCTCCAGGACTCGATCCTCGATCCTCGACCCTCGATCCTCGATCCTCGATCCTCGATCCTCGATCGATCCTCGATCATCGAAGACAAGGGATGCGTTCGATCCTCGATCCTCGACCCTCGACCCTCGAACCCTGCTGCTGCTGCTGCTGCTGCTGTGCCTCATCCAGGGCGCCGTGGCGCTGTCGCGGAGCCTCGCCGCCATCTGCAGAGACATCCTGTCCGTGCAGCGGCCTTCCGACGAGACTGCGGCGCTGCGGTGGGTCGGGGATGCCTTCGACCTCCTGCTCAAGGTGCACGAGGAGCGCGGAGGAGGAGGCGGAGGAGGAGGAGGAGGAGGGGGAGGAGGAGGAGGAGGACCATAGCAAGGCCAGGATAGATCACCGATGCATCACCAATGCTGCATCAAGCAAAACGCCCAGCCTGCACTACCGACGCGTCTGGCGGTGCGGCGAGGAGGCGTATTAAAGGTTTGCTGTAAGGATCCAACGGACAAGTGGCCGCTGTGAGGATCGAAGGGGGGGTGAGATATGGAAGATATCACAGAGTGTCTCCTTATGGGGTTCACCAGGCCGCCTTTTGGGATCTAGACTGGTTCCGTGTCTGTTCTGGAGAGTTGAGAGTGAGTTCTTTGCACGTTGCACTTGTGGCAAAATCCGCCCTCTCCAAAAATCCCTCCCTCCTTCCCAGAACCAGGACCCCCCACCTACCCAGCGAGAACCCTCCACCACCAAATCCCGCATTATGGACCAGTCGCAAACCACTGGTACACATCTCAACCGGCGGAAGAGCCGACTGGTATGGATTGCAACCAGCCTTGGTAAACCTTGCATTCGGATTCTGAGTGCGAAGTACTTTACCACGATCCAAGAAGCAAGTTGCACTTTGATGCGTAAACTGGTGTACTGGGAAACAACATACATGCCAGAGTTGGAATTCGCACTAAGCTGTGTCGTCCCATATGTACAGGAGTTGTGCAGGTTCTAAATGAAAACTGCTTAGCCGTCGTGTTGAAAATGTGTAGCTGGCTATCCAATGATAATTGTAGTGTTTGCATACAGGAACTGCATATGCTTCGTATGAGAATGTAGTAGTTTAAATGAAATTCACATGACTTTTACGCAAGAGCTTCAAAATTGGACGACCACAGGGCGGTGCAGCGCAATGGTTGTAAGTACCAAGGCATCTATCTGCGTGACCAGTTTGACATGCAGCACACTCCTCTTCCAATGCAGGCCCTGGCTTCGACTCAATTTTCGTTTCCTGCTCCGGCTCCGACTCCAGCTGCTCCTCAATTTCGGACTCCGGCTCCGATTCCAGCTCCGACCCCTTCATCGCCAGGTCTGGCCCAGACCCCAGCCCCGACTCCAGCGGTGGCACCGACCCTGGCTTCGACAGCCCTTCCGATGCCAGCTCCCGCTTTGACACCATCTCCGTCGCCTGCTCCAGGCGTGCCGTACCACAAGGTTCAATTTAAAGCATGAGTGCCAGGCCACTGGAACCAACATGTGCCATGGGGTGTGCCGCGCCATTTTCATTTCATTTCATTTCATACGCAGCGACAGCGTCGGGCCGGCCGCGCGCGCTGGGCGCGCGCCCGGGCCCTCAGCCCCCGCAGCGCAAGCGACCTACCTCTCCGCGGGGGGGGGGGCTGGGGAGCGGCAGGAGCGCCTGCGCGGGCCGCCTCCCGTTTGGTAGAGGTCTTTCACTCCCCTCGTGGAGGCGTGCCTCAGCTCCGACGTCTCAGACCACAGGGGCGCCATCAGCAGTACTGCTGGGTCTACTTCTCCATCTAGACTGACTTCTCTGAAGGCTGCCGCCCTTGCCGCCGACCCCAATTGAGCGACGAATGTTTGATTCGTTAGTGGTCGGGGTACTTTTCCGAGCAAGGCAGGAAGAGCTCAGATGAGTCTCCAGATTCTCCGTTGCATCTCGGATTTCTTTCGGGGGCAGTTTGGGAGCCTCGTGGGGTCGCTGTTGGGTCTCTTGGGGGTTTCTTGCAGCCTTTGGGGGCCTGCTGGGGAGTCTCTTGGGGCTTCTTGGGGGCTTCTTGGGGCGGAACGTTACGATTTGTGGTTTGTGTTCGTTCTCTTGGGCCATTTTTGGGGCCGTCATGGGGTTCCTTGGGCGGCCTCTTGGGCAGTGCTGGGGCGGCATGCGGGATCTCGGGAACGCCGTCGTCTTTGAACGAACGAAGGCAAGTCAATGTGCTATGATTCTTCAGGTCCAGCTGGGGGGCAGCCGCGAGGCTTCCTGGGACATGCTGGGGCCTTCCAGGGCCTGCGGTCGCCACGTAGGGTGTCTTGGGGCGATATATACCTGAACAGTCGAGGAGGTTGGGGCCGTCTCGGGTGTTTTTCAGGCTCTGTTGCCCTGTCTGGAGGTGTCCACTGCTCCGAAGCAGTGGCGCGAGAGACCGCGAGACGCCCCCCATGAGGAGACTTCGCGGTGTGGGGTTCTGGCTCCTGAACGGCTCCTCAGGTGTACGGACTGAGGTTGACAGGGTGATGGTGCGAACCTGAGGGCGCGCCCATTCCGTGCCCTGAAGCACGGTGGCGCATCTACAGAACCACCATACTTTGACGATCATGGCTGTGACGGATCGCATCGCTTTGTCGAGCTCCACTAGGGGAACCGTCCTGGGGTATGTCTCGTGGTTCCTTTGTATGAGTCGTGGGGGGTGGCAGTACATCGGGTTAGCGGTTTGTAGATCGGGCGAGGTGGCAAAAATTATCTTGGAATAGCGATGATCCCATCCCCGAACTGGAAAAATAAGGTTGGACGAGGAAGCGCGGTGGATCATTTCCAGCCCAGACGGCGGGGGGGATTATGAGCTAGGAGACCCCATGCGAGAAATTGTCCCGGTCGGTGGCGGCGAAGCCAGTATCGTCTTGTCGGGTCCTTTGGGTGTCGCTTGCGAGGCGGTCCGGTCGGTCTGGCCTGGGACATCCTTGCAATTGTAGGCTTCGAGATGCCGCGCCGCAGTCCTGAGGCGGTCCACGCCAGTTGGCGTGTGACATTCTCGCAGTTGTAGGCTTCGAGGCCCGAGCGAACGTAGTAGCCGTATTAATATTATTATTGTTATTCCCAACCCTCCTGCGTTGGGTTCTCGTTTTGAATAGAGCACTGCTCGCGCGTCTCCTTCCCGCCCCTCTCTTCCCCCTTGCCTTTCGCCTCGCTCGTCGCTGCGTGCCAGCTGGGGGGCTGCGATCTGTGAAACTGTCGCCACTTTCGAGGCCTGCTGGGGGGCCCAGCACAGTGGGTACTCACCGCAGACTCAAATGGGACCTCGCCATCCCTGGGGGGCTGCGATCTGTGAAACTGTCGCCACTTTCGAGGCCTGCTGAGGGGCCCAGCACAGTGGGTACTCACCGCAGACTCACATGGGACCTCGCCATCCTTGGGGGGCTGCGATCTCAGAAACTGTCGCCACTTTCGAGGGCTGCTGAGGGGCACAGCACAGTTGGTACCACCGCATACTCAAAGGGACCTCGCCATCCCTGGGGGGGGCTGCGATCCGACAAAAAACTGTCGCCACTTTAGAGGCCTGCTGGGGCCCAGCACAGTGACGCCACGGGCAGACTCAAATTAGACCTCGCCATCCCTGGGGGGCTGCGATCTGTGAAACTGTCGCCATTTTCGAGGCCTGCTGGGGGGCCCAGCACAGTGACGCCACTCGCAGATTCAAATTAGACTTCGCCATCCCTGGGGGGCTGCGATCTGCGAAACTGTCGCCACTTTGTCTCGAGGTCTCAGAGAGGCCCAGCAACAGTGGGTACTCACCGCAGTCCACAAATTGACCTCGCCATCCCTGGGGGGCTGCGATCTGTGAAATTGTCGCCACTTTCGAGGGCT